TCTCATTATTAAGCTGTTCTCCGTTGCTGTGACCTTCCTGAATAATAGATCTCTTCTCTCCCACAGGAGCTCACTTGTGGCGCAGCATGACGGCAAGGTAGGACAAGTGCATCTGAAGTGGATGTTTGTTAGTGTGTGTGTGTGTGTGTGTGTGCGTGCGTGCGTGTGTCTGTGTGTGTGTGTGTTTGGTGTTGGTTTTAGTTCTAGAAACATCTGAGATGCAGATCTGTGTTCAGGGTTCATCTCATTGGTTGAGAGCAGTTGGTGGGCGGGGTCGGAGCTCTGGGTTATCTTACCTGTGAAATGATTCTAAAACTAAAACTGATGGTGTTTAAAGATTTCTTAAATTTGAATCACACACCAGAAATGTGTGTCGTCGTGTCAAACCGAAACGCTCGGATGCGTTGGACACTCATCCCGAAATCTGCACTGGACTGTTGAGAATCCGCGGCCCTGCAACAGCTGATTGGTCACACATGACTGTCTGATCTAATGCTCTCTCAGGCTGAAACCATGTGACGGCTCAGGTTCAAGTCGCAGAAAATCACACACTCACCTTATGACACATGAAAGCAACGATGGAGGGATGGGGACACTGCTGGAAAAAAATATTGATTTCAGATATAGCAACCGGCCGCAGCCTGTACATGCACCGCCGCCGCCGCCGCCATAGCCATAGCCATAGCCATAGCCATAGCCAAATATCCTATTTCACATAAGTTGGCCCAGATGCTAACTGTGCCACCTTTAAAAGTGGATTTCCCATCAACTATCCTGAAATGGTTTTAAAATATGGTATTTTTTGTTTCCCTTTTACATTCAGCATCAACAAATGCTGAACAAACATTGAGTAATGTTTTCAGTTTATTATTGTATTTACTTTTATCTCTGTGTTCTCTGGACAATGACCTGCTGTATTCACACGTGGGCTCAATGGGACATTACACAGACTTTGTACCAGAGAGATAAAACAGGTAAAATCTGTTCAATGTCCGGTCCAACTAATTTGGACATTTGCGTTCTCACACACAGCTCCTCCGGGTGATGTGGAGATAGGTTCAGGGTTGCAGTGCATGTGTCAGAGGGGCATTAGGCAACCGATGTGACTCGGCCTGGATCAAACCCCTGGCCTCATTTTGAAAGCAAGTGAGTGAGGCTGGGAGGGGGGTGGGGGGGTGGGGGGTAAACGTTACTCGATGCCAGCCCTGAAGGCTCGGTGGGATTCAGTGGAGGTGACGGGGATTTGTGGGCGCCAGGCTGGATGCAACACATCTGAGTTATATAACTGATGAGTCCTGGTGAGTCCAGGTCAGGGGCAACGCAGAGAGTTTCGGGTTTAAAGACACACAAACAAACCTGACGAGCTGGGTTTCCGTCTCCCAAATAGTAAATAATCAGGGTCAGAGGGACTGAATGCAATATGTCATCAGTATTAATAAAGTCTTCAAGGAGAAGGAGTTATTCACAAAATTCTAAATTATTTTCCAGCGTTTCATCATTAGATTTTGTTTGTTCAGAGATTGGCTAAAGTTATATTTTTTGGGGCATTTCTGCCTCTCATAGAGCAGACAAACTTAGAGATTTCAGAGAGAAGTAGACAGAAGGATCTACAATTTGTTTTTGAAGGATACATCCAGGATGTAAAACTGATTCATCAGTGAAAACAGGTTCAAAAGGTAAAAGTGTAAAAGAAAACCACCATATCACCTGGAGATCCAGACAGAAGACAATGAAATTAAGGAACAACACTGTTCCTCCTAATTTACTATTACAATCATTAAAATACATTCAATATACCTTCAGTAGCTAGCGTAGCATAGAAGTGCTAATGCCAGTTAATGGTATGATAACTTACTCTGCTAATGTTAGCTCCACGGGTTTCTACGTAGAAACGTAACGTTTTAGAAACGTATATATCTCCTTCCAACCTCTCCGGGTAACGAGTATCACTATTATACAACGTTGAGCCAGGACATGCGATCCAATACAACTGTTCTGCTCTGAGTTTACTTTGATGAAGCTGATAAAGTTCAGTTTTTGTCAGTTTTATTTTAAAATAACTCCATTAATCTGATTGATGTTTGACCAGTAGCAGTTTGATTCATTATCACGCTCTGACCTAATTTGCATATCTAGTAATAAATATCCCTCTTTACCCATCAGCCTTCACCCCTCTGTCTCTCTCTCTGTCTCTCTCTATCTCTATCTCTCGCTCTCTCTCTCTCTGTGTCTCTCTCTCTCTCTCTATCTATCTCTCGCACTCTCTCTCTCTGTGTGTCTCTCTCTCTCTCGCTCTCTGTGTCTGTCTCTCTCTCTGTGTCTCTCTCTCTCTCTCTCGCTCTCTGTGTCTGTCTCTCTCTCTGTGTCTCTCTCTCTCTCTCTCGCTCTCTGTGTCTGTCTCTCTCTCTCTGTCTCTCTCTCTCTCGCTCTCTGTGTCTGTCTCTCTCTCTGTGTCTCTCTCTCTCTCTCTCGCTCTCTGTGTCTGTCTCTCTCTCTGTGT